CCCCCTGGCAACCTATTTTCCTACCATGTCGCCCACTCCCCATACCGAGCCGGGGCAGCTCTTCAGACAACCTGGGATGTGGATTCGCTGACAAGAAACGCTGAGCTGTTGAATGACCCCTGCTAAGCTCCCGACCAAATTCAAGCTGTGCACTATATCAAAGTCCGAAACTTCACTTAAAAAGAAAATAAAAAAAGAGGTTAAAAAAAAAAGAACAACTTCAGCAGAGAATGAGGTTTGGGGTTTTTTTTGTTTTGTTTTGTTTTTCCTTCTTTCTGTTGTGGGAGGGGGCACGAGGCAAGAGTCCTGGTTCTGAAGTACACAACAGCAAACTTCCAACATGAAGAGATTGTCGAGGGGAGAGACATTGGTGTGTTGTATTGCTCCGCTTTCCCTCCTCCCCCCACCTAGTCCCCTGCCCCGGACACCCTGCAGAGTGAGAATACAATGAAACTGGTTTGTATTTATAGATATTTTACAAGGTTAAATAAGAACAACAATAATAATAATAAAAAATTGAACACTAAAATGAACAGGTTGGTTGGTTTGTTGGGTTTTTTTTTTTTTTCCTCTTTTTAATTTTCTTTCCAAATGTGACCAGTGTTGCTGAGCAAGACTCAAATTACTGGTGATTTTTCCTGTGCAGCTGGCTGCTTGGTACCGGTTCAGGTGGAGTTGGAGGCTGATGCTGTAGCTACACTATTGGTCTGAACTCGTTCTCCTGCGTTAACATCTGCAAATGACAGGCAAGAGGAAAGGAAGAGAGAAAAACAACCAGTATTACCTCCAAAATACAGACACATTTGGAACAACAGCTACGACATTCTCCACGCAGGGAAACCCACAACTCCCACCGAGGTGCCGTTTAGTTAGGGTGCTCTCCTGACTTCAGGGGGTGCAGATGGAACAGTTCGGTCTGGGGAGAGGGTGGGAAGATGGTCTTTAAGCAGGACAAAGGCAACCTCAAGGGCTGAGGGTTGCAGGCTGGCACGCGAACACCCAGCTGGGCTCTAGCAGATTTTGCAGGACGTGACATTGCTCGCGCGGTGGTAAGTTGCCAACGCATCAAGTATCCGTGGCCACCACAAGGTTTCACGTTGGTGCTGAAGTTTCATATTGTTAGGCCTTCTTGTTACAAAGGCGTCTGTTAATTGTGTGAATGAGCACAGACAATGAACGCGACGAGCCTGCTTCCCTGGCAGAAACAGCTCGTGTGTTAGAGTGTAATTCATGCACTCGTTGCCTCAGAAAACGTCTTTCGAGTCTACTGCTTTATTCTGTGTTGCTCAACCAAAGTTGGATCTGCCACCCTCTGAACTGCTGAAGCAGATTAACATGAAGGCCTGAAGCCAGTAACGAGGTTTACGCAAGCATACGACATTGTTAGAGGATCAGGTCTCTGCAGTAAATGGTCTCTAACACCTTCTCTGGGAGGGACAGTGCTCCACAGAGGAACAAGTCACAGGATCATGGGCACGTGTCAAAGTGCATTCCAAGAAAACACAGGGTTTGCAAAGAAATACCAAAAGGAAATTCACTGTAACTGTGTTTTCATAGGCCACATGCATCAGGTATTTTCTCTAAAAAAGAAGAGTTGGTAGGGGGGGAAAAAAACCGCACCAACTTCATCCGAAACCATCCTATGCAGTATCTAATTACCACAGTCACAAAAAGGAAAGTAGATGAATGGTTAAACACATAAAATACTCAACACAATAAATACGGGATGGGAAAAAGATATTCAGTGAGGTTTTCTACAAGAGACCGTCGTGCGTGCCTCCCACAATTTAAGTAAGGTTAACTGCAAAGCTATCGATACTGCAACAGGAAAAAAAAACCCACCAAAACTTATCTCAGTACAGAAGAGGGCAGACTGGGCAAACAGTGCATTCGAAAGACATGGGGAAAAGGGCTTATAAAAAGAAAGAATAGATTTACTGACCTCAGACTGAAGGACAATATGACTAGCATAAATAATGGACACGACAAAATACAACTGGTGGGCAGTGGGGGTGCAGTAATACTTCTCTGGCACAGAAGAGCTCGTGAGGCAACGCAGCCGGGCAATGCTCTACAGTCACCTGTTAACGAAACCGCTCTCCTCTCCTGCCACATTGACCTGACCATAGTTGGAAGCGCAGCCATGAGCAAAGGCAATGAAATGAATGAGAGTCTAGAGATGGGCAGCACTTGCTGAGTGACAAATTAAGTAACACACACAGACAACGGCAACAAAAATAGGAAATCAAACAAACAGCAGCATCCAGGAATACAAGAGGCAAGTGGGAAGAGAGGATGATGCCTATTTGAAAAGGAAATGCTGCGAGGAGCGTGTGGGAAGAAAGGGAAATCCTCCTGTGGGCAGAGGATGCCGGATGACTGCTCTGGGAGTTTGCCATTCCCTTTCCTCTCACCCCAAATTAATTGCAACCCCTCCCTCACGAAGGAATGACCACCATGATAAAAAAAAAGCTCATGCAGTTAAAGCACCAAGGCAGCATGACGACAGTACCAATGTTATTTGGAAAGCTAGCCTTGCACGCAAGAGACGCCCTCCTACGTGGAGAATTACCCTGAAGGAGCAATTCCCAAATCCCACATGCATGCAGACCAACAATGACCACGGAAATCGAAAGTGACCCAGCCAAACAGGTAATAGTTTCCACACTTCAAACTCTCACTGTGTCTGTTCTAGATTAATTTTCAGGTATGGATAAACTCCAGTTAATGCAACATCTGCTGTGCCTGATGCAAACAGTCCAGCTGGAGTCTGTACTGTTGGCAGACGATTTCTCTGTATGTGTACAAAAAGTGCTTGTATTTCATTTGCTGAAATGAAATGTGCCTTTTGATCTCCTATTCCTGAAGACAGCAGAGGCTGAAACCATTATCATTACATTGCTACTGAGCAGAGATAAAGAAAAAAGAGGAGGGGATGGAGCTACTTCATGTAACATACGTAACATATGCTCCTTTTCTATCATCACTCTAATGGGGGAGTTCCCGAGAAATATATATGCCACATGTTAAAAAGCAAATAAACCCGGTGACACAGCCCAAGACCATTTACATGGGGCTTTTCACAACAATATACAGAAGTCCACCCAGGCTGGGACAGAGCGCAGAGCCTGCTCAAGGCTATACTGGCTCCAAACCTGCAAGAAAATGCAGTATTTTGACATTCCAGCATGTTCTTTGACTCTGCATCGACAGGACTTTTGGGGAACAAAGAGGGGCTTGTTCCAGCATCTCTTTGCTGAAGTGCCAGAAAAAGAGCACAACTTGAGTATGAGGGTCTCTGGACAATCACTTACTCCCCCTCATCACGAGAAATCAGTATTTGGGCATAAGAGAAGAAAATCTAGGCCTTCAGCAATGTTGCTAAAACATCTGCTTTGTGAAGCAGTGGCCTGTGCCACCGTGGAAGCCCTGCTGGGGAGTGAAGCTAGGAGCTGAACGGGACAGATGAGTACACAGCAGACTGGGGCTTGAGGTCAGGGCAGCCTCTTTGCCCTAAACTACCCACCTGACACCTCTGCCTGTGTGGGCAAAGAAACCACATTAGGGCTCAAGTGTCAGCCGCTTCCAAAACTTCTTCCAGAGGGCAAAAGTGTCTCTCAATGTAGAGCACCTCCTCCAATTCAGCTTTTCCCTCTAAGAAATGCCTCAGCTTTCTTGGAAGGCACGTGACACTCCTTAGAAACCTCCCGGAAAGGAGAGATGGGGCTACAGTTCAGAGAAAGACAGAAACGCCAACTCAGTCTGAGAAAGCCCATTAGCGCTAATGACAGCATTAGTTGGTTGGATCTGTAACGCTGACAGACTATGCTGCTCATCTGCAACGATACAGAAGCAAAACTACCACCAGCCTGAGAGTCCTCACAGGACAGCTGAGGAGACAAGTGGTAGGAGGAGAAAAGCCTGGTTTTCCTACTGTGCCTGCCTATGGATGTAGAAATCCAGGGCTCAGAGCAAAACTGGCAAGCCTGAAATGTGTAGGTTTTACTCCTCTAACTGTCATGGATTCATCCCTATGCTGAACTTGCAGAAGCCTGAGCCAATTGCTTGCCCCTCTTCTCCTGGTTAAGGAATTGAAGTTTTCCCAAAATTCCTTCAATGGGAATACCATAAATGCACTAAATTTTTATTTTATGGAGCACCGTGGTCTTTTTCAACTGCCACACATTGGCAGGTAACACCAGCTCTAATCTGTTTTGTTGCTGAAAGTTCAGGCACACCATCGCATTTGGGATTACAGGGGATCAACACAGCAGGATGCCTAAGACGATGACCCCAGCATCCCTGCTGGCACAACTCCCCTGCAGATGGCAACTATGCTCTTCCCATCTTAACACTAACAGAGAGGTTAACCACTGCTGCTGGCTGATCCAGGAAGAAAAACATGTAGTCACACAAGCAGATACGCTTTCGGCTTGGTGTGCATGCTGCCCTCTCAGATGCTGTGCCTGCACGGCTATGAAACCATCCTCCCCCTTCAGCTAGATCAAGTCAGCATCCACATTAAAAATGCCAGTGCAGCTTTATTCATCAATGGCCAGCATAATTCACAGAAAGCTAGCACGCCATTTCAAGCAGGGGCAAATAACTCCCATCTTCCTTTTCTTCCACTTTGCTTTAGACATGCCACTAACGTCACAGAGAATTTCTCATAAACATTTAGGTGAATTTACTAATGCCCGTGCAGCAAGGCTTCATACTCCCACTGCAAAGCCAGGTTCCATGAGTACAGTGAGTCCAGCTTTACGCCTCAAGAGAAGAGGAAATTTACAACAAATACATTTTTTAGCACTCAAAAATTACCTACAGTAATTCCCCTGCATTTAAGATCATGATCCCAGGATTACTGCTGCATTGGGCTGTTGAAATCACCACTGTGAATCTACCAGTTAACAAAAATTACTTGTTTTGGATAATTTTTAAAAATGCAGATGTGCGTCATATTGGTTAGCACAAGGGCTAGTATTACTGGCTTGATAAAACCTGCACTGTTAACGTGGCATGTTGAAAAGCCAATCTTTCCATCTCTTAACACCACACCACTGCTAAGTCTCCTGGCAAACACTACTTTGCTAGACTTCGGACAAATAGGTCTAATTCTCTTAACTATGACCCTGCCTTGGTGCATGATAAAAACCAGTGCTTTACACCTTACCAAAAAGCTGAGATTCTGACATGGCTGCATACCAACATGACAGCTATGAAAATGGAGTAACTGTCCGCAAGCAGGTAACAACAGCCCAGCTGGATGACCTACAGTGATGAACTAGTACCCTGCATTTCCAGGTACGTGCACCTATGCCCCAGGCTTACGGAGTAGGCAAGTATGCTGGACATAACAGCAGACACTTCAACCTCAGTATCAGATCTGCTTGCCAGAGGGAGATGAGAGTTACACACTAATGATGTGGACTACAGTTACGTATAACTTGCTTTGCCCTCTGAATTGCCTTGAGAGCTACATTTTGTAGCATCATCACCACTCAAAGAAGTAGTTTCTGAACTTGTACTGCTTAGTCACACGAGCAAACATTTTGCAGAAAAGCCTCCTGCCTAAAGGGATACCCTGGGTTAGGTGGGAGAGTTGCTCCCATGCTGCTTTAGCAGTTACTGAAGAACTAGAAATTTACTGCTCTGGGATGTGCAGGGGGTATAGGGAAAGAAGGGACCCCTTCTATGAAAATCTCTTGCTAACAGCATGCAAAGCACAACAGATTAACATAACCTCATACAGGACCTAATCCTAAAAATCACAACTCTGATGAAATTCTCACTGCCTGTTGCGAGAACCCCATGTGAGTAAGAAACTACAAACCAGCTGTGCTGCAGAAACCCAAAGCTGCGTGTTGCCCAATACTGAACTTAGTTTCACAATTTCTTTCCAAGCTGCAAGGATATTTTTTTGGTTTTTGAACTATGAATAAGAGGTCCTATCCCAACTGAGTGCAGTGCTTGCAAACAGGAGGTTTAAAAATGTTGACATCAGTAAGGTGGGGTTGGTTTTGTTTTTTCTTTTAGTATACTTCACGTTTAGGACACATTTAGGACTCAGCTTAATGCATTTTCCCCCCAGATGAACTCTTGGAAAGTGCTGGGTGAAAATGGACTTCTTAACCCCATTAATTCCTCAAGACTTGTATCTTGGCAAAGAGAACTCCTTAAAAGGCATGAAAGGGACATTAAGTGAAACGGTATTTTTCAGAATGGCTTAAAATCACTTTCCATGTTTGTATTTTGTAGTTTTTCAATCACTTTTACTACTTTATCTGCTTTTTGTTCTCACTCGTCATTTAGCAACAGATGCACGTAAAAGGGAAACAGAGAACATGACTATTTGCAAAATACTGCCAAGTGTATGAAACAAACATACTAAATTTGAAAATAGCAATTTTGCTTTCTTCTAAATTCAGAGCACATAAATTGTACAGGCTGTAGCTTTTATTTACTGCTACTACATTTTCAGAGAGAAGCCTCATCTTTCAAACCTGGGTGCATCTGTCTGTCCTGGAGTATGAAAATGCTTTCTATACAGTACTGGCTGGACCAAGCTCATCAGCTATCAGGCAACTGTCCAGCATAACCACCTGCAAACACTTTCCTGCACATTTCGAGAATACCTTTTTAATTAGGTCTTCTCCTTATCAGCTATCTTACACTGAGTAAGCGCCCTGCACCTCAAAAGGGTGTCACAGTCCTTGTCAAATGGGACTGACATGCATGCAGGATACGGTATGGAAGCACACCCATTTTGCAGCCTGCCTTTGGTTGCCCAAGCCCTAAGGCAGCCGGCTGCTGTGCTGACTCAGGGCTGACTCAGAGGAAGTGCCATGTACCGAATCACCTCTGCCACATCCTGTAGCACCTAGGATTTTCTCTGGGAGTCTCCCAACTGATATTACCCAGCTTTTAAGCTTTCACTGGAAACAGAATACAATATTGAGTGGCTACAGGCCAACAGTGAGCTTTTAAAAGGTTTCTGACAGAAACCTGAGAGAGAGTGAGAGAGGCAAAAAAGAAACTCACTCGGTGCTGGCCAAAACCCAAAAGCATCTGCCTTGTGCCTGAAGATGACGCAAGCAAACTCAGTAAGAAGCAACTGCAACTACTTAGATGAGGCAGCGAGCACACTGACTGAACTCCCTAACCAGACTTTTAAGTGCTATTGCCTTTAGGGAAAAATCCTCTCCATCCATGCTCCACGGAGGCCACGTGTACTGAAGCTAGCTGTTTCTTCTCTTCCTAGGCATCACAAACTCATGCTCCAAGTCAGTATTAATTTCAGACTGCCCGAGAGCTCAGAAATTAGGTGCAAACCAATCCACAAGGATTGCTAAGAAACAGGGGAGGTAATGATTTTTAATAGTGGAAGTCTGAGTGAGAGGGACTAACAAACTAAACAGTCGAACGTGGAGTCTAAGTGCCTTGGGTTAGGATATGGGTTGGTGGCCACAGCTAGCACCCAAATGACCACCTACCAAGAGCAAGTTTCAGGTGACTTTGGAACAAACCCTTTGTCCCTGTTCACCCTGAGGGCCGAAGTGGCTCACGGACCACAGGAGAGGGAAGGTGCCTGGGCAGGGGGAGCAAGGGTGGGGAGGGAGGGAGGCAGGCAGGCGCACGTTCTCACCTGAGGCCGCTGTAGCATTTGTAGGGGTTGAAGCAGCTGCTTGGTTCCGGGCATGAGCAGGGATGAGGATCGAAGCCAGAGATGGGTTACTTGACAGTTCTGGAGGGGAGGTGGAACAAACAGAGTTAGCTCATCGTCCACAAAGAGCCCCGCATGCAGGCTCAGCTCCTCAGGTTTAGCCCCCGTAACAGCAACCTGGGGTGAAACGCATGCCCTTACAGCCAAAGGTCATGTTACGTTTTCTTCTTTGCCGACCAGCGAGAGGAAACCAAAGCCATATTGGGCAAGGCAGTCTCCAGAGCAAGACTGTCAAAACTACAACTAGTGGTGCAAAGGAATTATTTCCTAGAGAAATACAGCGGCTTAGGAGTTAGCAAAGAACCAGCCAAGCCTGTTCCTTATCAGCGGCCTGATAATGCTGTTTCCTTCTGAGCACTGGAAGGATTCCCTTCACAAACCCACTTGCAATCAGTCTCAAGGAGAAGGCTGATAACAGCGGTGCTGCTTTGGGCACTGGTTCAGCAAGCAAGCAGCTGCCACAGTTGCTCCAAGAGCTTCAGGGATTCAGTTCTTTGGCTCACTCAAGCATCACTTTCTCAAGGACCCAGGAACCCAAGATCAATCTCTCACAGCAGTCTCCTTGAGCGAGGCCAAGAAGAGGTGACATCTCCTTTAAAAAGTACAGGGAAAGGCAAAGGGAATTGGTCTGCTGGGCAATTTAAATGGACAACAAAATGATGCAACCATTCTTTCTGAAGACATTAACCAAGGAAAAACTAGTCATGTCTTTTAGGCTCCAAATCTAATATAGCTTCGATGTGTATCAGAATGAGGAATAGGCATCTTACAGCCACAACTCTGGGAGCATTAAGGGCAACACATTGCCAACAAATGACAATCTTCGGCACCCTTTCAAGAGAATCTAGTGCCTCACAGAAGGTGGGACTGAGCCGAGACAAGACAGGTCCTGTTTGTTTCAGAAACAGGAGCGACTGACTGTCTCTTGAGAAAGCAACATCCGGTGAAAAGGATGTGAACAGTCACCTCATGGAAGGAGACTGATGACTTTTGCAGCTCCAGGAGGTCATCTGGAGGAGAAATGAGAATAGACAGCTTTTTACATAAGACCTCCAGATAGCAAGGGCTGTACAGAAACCAGTCCCAATCACGCCATGGGTTTAGTAAGGTGGTTTTGTACACAGTCTTAAATTGTTTGGGCTCATTTTTAAGAGCCTATTGCTTTTTTTCCCCGCAAGCTTTAAATTTAGGGCCTAAAGGGATCAGTAGTCTACTTGGCGATTTTTTTTTCTCCATTGTTACCTTAAGTTTCTTTACCGCTGGGAGGGCAAGATGCAGAAGACTCACCTGCTTACAAGCCTCTTATTACAACACATTTTGAGACTGCGTTTCAGCACTTACGAACACAAGCTCCAGTCTAGAACCAAACAGAAGTTGCTACATTACCTGCAATCCACCCAATCTATCCTGTAATACTCCATTCCGGTCTAAGAAGACCTAGCTAGTCCTTCTACAAAGCCTCAATACTCACAGCATTTGTACAAATACTAATCCTCAAATTCATGTGGGAATAATTCAGAATTCATATACTCATAATATAATTCAGAATTCATAAGTCTCCACTTTAAATGGAAAAATAAACTGAAGAAACATGCATCCTCAAGTGTCAAAGCTGAACACCAGTGATAAACCTATACTTTAATGCTAATTTGGGTATTAGCTGCTCTGTGCTAGAAGATGTTGCTCCTTTAAGTATTTTTTCCAAAGCTGTTTCTCAAATCTGTTCTTACTGGGAATCTGCTGTTTACCTCGCTCTTTTAAAAGTTTCTATCATCCCCACATTATTTTCTGGCAGCAATACGGGGCTGTGACCCAAACAAAAGCAGAGCTAAAACATCAAGGAAACCAAATGACATTCGCTACCTTCCAGTGCTAAGCGGTGCCTCGAGGATGCAGCTGTAGACTGCCTGCATCGCTGTAGCCAAAGAACCAGCTGATCTGACAGAAAAACACCCTTGCAACAGCACTTCGATCCCATTCTCATTCCTCCTATACATTCATCTAACGCCGTCAGAACACCTCCTTTCGCAGTACCAATTATGGCAAGTATACTGGGTTTTGCTGTTTTTAAGGCAAGTGCAACTATTTCTCTGAAGCTACTTTAAAGAACTTGCATAGAGACTAGAAGACTGATCTTGTTCCCTTCTTCTCAAACCCCACATTATCTTTCTTGGTATGAAGTTTCTTAAATTCAGCATGCTCTGAATGTCTTGACACTTCACTTAGAGGAGCAGGTCAATTCAGACAAGAAATAACCAAAGTAAATTGAATTCTTTTGGCTGAAGTTTAATAGCAGCTTTGCTCGAGAACTTGTTTGAATTTTTGTTCTGCCATATTTTTGCAGCTATCCCATCTGTGCTTACAGAGACACATCAATACCAAGGATAAAGCTTGACCTGTGGTATCTGCAATCTACAAGTATTGAGAACCTCTGTTCTCAGTGATTTCCAACACAGTATTTGGACAAGCTGTTGAACTGTAGCCTGCTTATCTAAATCAAACCTGCAATTCAAGGTTGGGTTAATGACAACCAATACTGCTGCAAGAAGGTATTGTGATCAAGGCAATCTAGACAAAGCTTTCAATACCATGATGTGAACAGAGCAGCTACCTCAATTCATTTATGAAAGCCAGCTCCCATTCACATCAGCTGGCAGAACACCTTTGGCTTTCTCCTGATCAAATCATGCCATTTGCAGACAGTTTACATCTCCAATAAGGAACAGGAATGAAAATGTCCAGTTTTACTAGAACACCAGATCATCTTCCCCAAACACAAGAAAATGCTTGGTGTTGGGACATAGTGCAGTGCTCTTTTTCAGTATCCTTACGTTTGATATATCAACACTCCCAGAATCCCCTGGAAAAATTAGTCTTGTATCATACTTGCTTTGTCACGATAACAAACTTTCCATATAACTCAAGTTATTCCAGCAGTTTCTCCTCAACCTAGAAAAGTGCTGGAAGCAGCACAAGTTTCATTGTTTTCCTTTCTTCCCCGCCTCCACATGCCCTGAGCAGAAATACTCTGTCTAAAAAAACCTAGATGGCACTCAAATGGTCACACTAAGGATTTCTGGTCACATTGAAACAGTTTGGTTAGAAATGAAGGGGTTATATTTTTTTTATATATATATATATATATGTGAAAATAAAAAATATAAACACATATAAAATTATATAAAAAATACAAAAATGTATTAAAAATTATCTTTTTTTTAAAGGTCACAAGCCAGGCCTATTTAAAAACAAAACAAAACACAAAAGCCCACACTTTAGCAAAAAAAATCATTTGTTATCGAGAAGCATGACAACCATTCCTAAGTGCTGAATCACAGAAGAATTTTACAGTCTTTAATGGCCAACACTGAGTGACAGTAACATTTGTGACCCAGCACAATCACCGACATGTTACAAGAAGTTTAGGAAACGGTAGTCATTTCACAGACTGTTTGAAAATTCAGCTTCTAGGAGAGAAATTGCTTTCTGTCTTGCAGGTCTAACAGCCACTGAACTGCAGCTCTGTGGCTAGTGGAGATACCTCCTTGGCCAAATAATTTTTTCAAACCCCAATTAGCATGTAAAATTTGTTTAAATACTAAGAGAAACTTACATTAAGAATGACCAGATAAAGCTCTCTCTGACAGATCTCATCTCTACAATAAAGTAAGCATCTACATGTGCCACAACTGCTGGCATCCAAAGACCACGGTCTTTATCTTCCATAAACTCTCACCGCTTTTTTTCTAGATTATATCTGAGCAACATCAGTGCCCAAGATCAGCAGATTTGGTATATCCTTAGGTTCTTTCTGAAAGTCAATCCAATGCATTAATGGTCAGATTTATGTTGTTACTTCTAACAGTTTTGCCTTCAAGCCTTCTGCAGCTACCTCCTACTTCATGGGTTTCAGGCAACTGGATATAGCCAAATAAAACACTTCTAAAACTTAATATTGTCTGTTGAAAACAAATGCTATTCAGAACAAAAGGATGTCTTTCATTGCTTTTTAAATTACCACAGATGATTTAACATGAGTCATCATCTGATTTCCAATGACCTGATCTATTTCCCAGTTGGGATTTCTGCTCCGGACTAGCCAATTTGACAGGACCTTGCACAGTCTGGCTAAAGAGCGAGGACTGCACAGCGGTCACAGGAGGAGCAAAAGCTTCTTGTGTATCTTGAGGTGGTAATCAGGACTGCTGCTACACGAGACTCATTGCTGCACATTTATTAATTACAAAGGTCTTAAAATCACCGCGCTAAGCAACGTATTTATTTATTTTAAAAAACTCCGGTTATTTTTTTTGAGTTTGGCTGGTCACCTGCAACAGAGTTTATCTGGAAATGCATTAATGTCCAGCCTCTGTCCTGTCTTCCCTTTTTAGATGGCAAAACTGGCACCTGCTGATGACAGAAACCTGCTTTTTTGAATCTTAAGGAAACCACTCCACTGGAACTGATTTCTCTTGCCATTCCCATGAGTCACTATGCAAGGGGAAAGCACATCAGCTCCTTAGGATGGCAAAAGAGGAGCTTTAAATTTGCTTGAGCATTAGCATAGCTTACCTGGCAGTTCCCACACTGCCTGGGGGTAAATCAGGGACACATTCCCAATACATAAACTTATTTTTCCCCTAAGGATTTTTAAAAAGACTCACTATAGAGCTTTCCAACCCTTTTTAAAATCCTTGTTTTCATGTAGTAGATAGGCCCAATCTTAACATCATTAAGAAACAATTAACAAGAAATACTTTCAAAAAGAACAGGGATGAAGCTGTATTAAGATACTGGGATCAAAACTATCTTAGTTACTGAAGATGGTCTTAGAGTAGGAAGAAAAGGCAATTCATGAGCACTGTAACAAGGAGGGACCTGTTAACATAACTACTAAATTCATAACAACAGATGCAGGAATCACAGAGGACAGTGACCTGGAAGCACAAGCTATTTTCTTGAATACTTTAAGGTGTTCATGCTTTGGAAATGTTGTAGTATATTCAATATATTTACCTTCTGCAAGGCAGCCACTCAAAGCAAGTTAAAAGTTTATTTCCAGGCAGCTTAAAATACTACTTTGTACAGACACAAAGCTTATTGCCCCTCTCCCCCCTTTTTTTTTTTTGTAAAATAAAAGGGCTCCACATGTTGAAGGAGAGGGCTCTATTTCACATTTTGGCAGATGGGCATTGCATGCACTAAAGAGTTTGAAAAATTACATTGATACTAACTGAGCCAAAAGGTGTTTTAGACTTTCAACAGAAAATGCACACAGATCTATTCTTGCTCAAAGGGTGAGAATTGGCAGCTAATCACTTTTTTTTTTTTTAAAGTGCTGCGAAATTAATTACTAGCATATTTGTATGCCATACTTCTCACATTCTCTGTCTTGGCAGGCAAAACTGGGGATATCAGTTTTATATTTCTGACTTCGGGGGGGGGGAACCAAACATGAATGGTTTTAAAATTTGATACCAGTCTGGCTTCAAATAAAAAAGTTAGCTGTCCGTCATTTTTACAGTTTCTAAATGACTGAGTCAGTGTAATGCCAGATGAACTGTACAGCACAAAATCTGGACATTAAAGCCTCTGTGTTTATCTCGCATCCAGAACCAAAATGGGCAGCAACACTACAAACCTCCCTGCCAAACCTAATATGCATTACTCCTTGCTATGGTGTTTCAGGTATGAAGGAGCAGGATCATCTCCAAAACGACAATCTAATATCTACGGTCCACTGACTGTGATATTTCACAGAAAACCATCAGCTAGGTTACAGACACTGAACTGCAAACATAAGCCTTCTTGATGCAATCCAATAGTAACAACCTTCGGTCCCCCTGCACTAAATTTGAATCGAAGGCACCAGGCATCTGAAAATCCCGTAACCCGTTTCTCCAAGTCCCTTTCCTCTCTTTTTGAAATGGACAGCTGGTTATGCAACCACTTAATAACCTTAGTCCTGCTCGGAGATTTTTTACTTTTGAGGGAGTGACATCTGCATTACAGCGAACATTTATCCCAGTGCTTCTTCCTAAAGAAGGGATCCTTCAAAGCTCACAGGCTACCTTGAGTGGTGAAATTGAAGAGTGCAGGTTTCTCGCGCCCATTTGGTAACTTGACATTTGGGTCCCGTAGTTCATCGAAGAAAGAGTGCGCACAGGCCTCCAGGGGAGTCAGGCGGGCAGTAGGGGTGTACTCCAACAGACGGCTACATAGCGCAATTGCTTCTGGTGGAGTGCGGGGCCGGAAGACCTAAAAAAAACAAGCAAGGAGAAACAGGTTGTCTGGGTATGTTTCTTTTCTTTGCTAACCAGAAGCAAGTCAGAGCAATTAAACCTCTCATTGCCCAACAAGCTGGAACAAACTTGTGGTTTGTGCTAATCAAAGTCCTCCAGTAAGGATGGGAAAATCCAGTTCCTGGGGTTGAGAAAGGGTTAATTGCAACGTCTTGCACTAGAGTGAAGGTGCAATGCCAGCAAGAGACTTCATGAGAGCGCACTCAGAAAAACAACTTTAAGAATGAAGGGGAAACTCATTCAAAAATCGTGACAAACACACACAGGTGCTACCAGCCATGCATATGGGGTGGAGTGAAGGTAGGGAGGAGGGTTCAAATGAGCAGGATTCACTGAATGTAAAAATTGAATAAGGCCCCGCTACGGTTTTGGGTTGGGTTTTTTTTTGCTAGTGAATGAAGTCTTACTAACGTGGACTTTTGCAGGCAGGCAGGTCAGATTGTTGCTATGGAGGCTGCTGTTCAACTTTGGAGAACAACAAGGAAAGCACGGGTGGGGTGCAGGAAACGTCCAGCTCTAATTTGCAAGTTACTCCTTCTGTGACCTTATTCTGGCAAGTCATTCCCATAAGTTTATTGGGATAATTCCTGCACATTTGGTATTTGTAAGGGCAGCTGAAAATTGCATCAAGAGAACCAACTATTTCAGTCTACCAGATTTTTACCTTGAGTGATTACAAAAAGGAGTTCTTCACTGCAGCTTTGTTTTAAACCTCTAAGAACGGTTCTACCCACTGCTAATCACACCCCCATCCTCCTTTCTCATTATGTCAAAAGCAAAATATGAGTTAATCATGTACGTGACCTGGATGGCCTCCTCAAGCACTTGTGTCTCGCTATGTTGCGGGTGATACGCAGGCTGGGGAAAAGGGAGTGGGGTGGGTGTGAGTGTTAAATTCTGATGCCAGCATTTTTGGTAAAAATTGAGCTAATCCAAAATGCTTTTGCACCAGTCCAGGTGAACCCAAGCCACACAGCACCAAGGAGCAATTAAAAAAAAAAAACCCAAAAACAAAAACCAAAAGACATCAGTGCATGACATGCTAGTTAATCGCAGATGCGGAACTTGCACAGGCACTCCTTAAGTAGGTTTTAAACCAAAGACATATGCTCTCGTGAATGAGAATCAAAACACAAACGCTAAGTCAAAAACAAACCAAAAGACATCAGTGCATGACATGCTAGTTAATCGCAGATGCGGAACTTGCACAGGCACTCCTTAAGTAGGTTTTAAACCAAAGACATATGCTCTCGTGAATGAGAATCAAAACACAAACGCTAAGTTCTCCAGGGACTGAAATTTTATCCCCTTAGTGCCCAGCTGGCTCAGGAGCACCCAGGTTTGCTGCAGTGCGTGCTGTGCTAACTAACTTGCGTGGCAGGGAATCCTGACTCAGGGAGTCAGAGCCAGGTTCCGAAAAAGCAGATTTTATTTCTACTACTGGGTTATTGCAAAACAAACCAAAAAAGTTTTCGCAGGAGGCCTATAATGACAAAAGGAAAGGCCTATAAAGACAAAAGGAAAAAAAATTCATGCTGGCAGCGGAGAATTCTGCTGACCACCATGCCGTGAATATAGTTACATGGAGGGGCAGCAGAAGCTGTTCAGCACCAAAACCCGTTGCCTGCAGAGCTCGGATTGCTGACCACAGTGCAAAGTGGATGCAAGTATCACTCCCAAGTCACGGCCTGACCAGAACAAAATCTAAGACTGCCTCCAATTAAAAAAAAAACCAAAAAACAAAAAACCACAAAAAACAAACCATTGTAAGTAGCACAAATGAGTATGTCTTGAGGTAAATCCACAGAAGTGAAGTCGCTTGATATTTAACATGAGGTAAAACTACTGAGGTCTCCCTCATCCAACCTTCTCACTGATGTTTTAACAGGCTTGATTTACCACAGCTTGAAACTGAAGTACTTCACTCTTAGCTGTGTTTTTCCTTCAGGACAGCTCACATACCAGCTACTATACAGATTTTAAAAAGAAAAAAATCATTTTTTTTCTTTAAGGCAAAGACGACAAGCCCTTATCTTGAGCAAATTAGAGGCATACAGTCGCAAATCTGCCATCTGCCAAAGAAGTACTCTTGTTTGTCCACTCTTAAACACCTCATTTTCAAGTCAGTGAAACCCTAACATCTGTTTCCTAAACCCTGTTGAGAACTGCTCAGCCTGCCTTTGGATCAGAAATTAGTCACTTAGGGTAGGCAGTTCCCAAACTGTGCCCTAACTTCAAACCAGGGAGGGGAAAAATAAAAAATAAATTAGAAGGCCTCACACAGCCTCCTCCTGCAACAAGTGGTGACTAACACATGAAGTGAGTTACAGGTCTGTGCCCATCTCATCCCTATCACCTTGTGTTACAACATTCGCCTGGCTGCTGCCTCAAGGATGCGGTTTGAACTCAAATATTCCACTTCTAGCATTTCTCTCCTTTTTTTCAAGGCTAGGCCTAGTAATTTGAAAAAATGTTTAAGTACATACCCGTACTCCTGAGGTGAAATGTCCTGTTCCTGACGAGTCCTAAAGATGATAATGCAGTGAAATAATCCAAACAGGGGAAGTCAATCCAAAAGAGAATAGTCCAGCAAGGAAAAATATAGCCAATATTATAAGAAATCCATGGTGTGGGGGACATAGAAAATGTTTATACAATTAGAAACTTTAAACATCAGTCTCCATAGCAGCAAGTCCAACTTCACCACAGTGTATGCCAAAAAAATCGATTGTGCAATGGTGAGGCATAGTATAGAAACATTTCTATATTAAATTTATGTTCCAATGCCAGTGCATTTACTAAAAAAATAAAAAAAATTGAAATCAAAACTCTAACTCGAACTAAAAGGGTAATTGAAATTCCCATCATAAAGAATTTTCAGTCCTTGGTCCTGGATATAAACGTCCACAGACAATGGGGCCAGATTAGTTTGTCCCCAAAGGTACATCCCACTTGTAAATCTGTCCCAGAGTCACAATGTAAACTTTTGGGTTGTTTTGGTTTTTTTACCAAAAAAACCAAACCCCTAGCAATTTATAATTTGTATCGAAGAGAAAGTAAAAATCCGAGATCTGTACTTTGAATTTGGATGCTTTTAATTTGCGTGAGCTACGAGTGCCTCAGGCCGCCGCGGATTATTCTCCATTTTGGATTGACTTCCCCCGCCACTGGATTTTGTTTGCTGGCGTTATCTCTTTAGGATTCTTCAGGAACTGGACGTACCACCTCAGGAATGCGGGTATGGACTGAATTTCTCTCTATTGCGGGTTTATTCCCCCTCATACCCGTCGCACCCGTTACTTAAGAAATTTTTTCCCCCTCAATTTGTCCCCTCCCGCCTCCCTTTTGAGTAACGCCCTAAGAAATAAAAGCAAAACCCCCTGCGGTCTTTTAGCTCTTCCCATTCAACACAGTTCCACCGGGAAAGCTGGCCAATTCACCCACCGAGAACTACACGAGCAGTTGTCGCCCGTGGCAATGGGTACACCGGCACTTCCATGCCGCGGGGCGCCGACGCCAAGGCAATGCTGGGCCGGCGCTCCGTGGTGGGAAGGGGTGGGAGGACGGACAGACAGCGGGATTCGTGAGCTGTGAAGCCCCTCGCATGTACAGCTCAGCAGGAGATTAAGGTCTCTGTAGTTCTCAGTGAGGGAATCGATTTAGTAAATAATCCGCGGATTATTTTTAGTCTGCGGACTAAAATTTAGTGCACGGACTAAAATCCGGCCCATTGGAGCAAAGTCTGTCTCGGTCTAAAATACATCTGGGTGAAAGCAAAAGAAAAAAAAAAAAGAAAAAAGAAAGAAAAAAGGAGAAAGGAAAAAAAAAGGAAAAAAGCTAAGTGCACAAAGTAAAGTGTTTGGGCGGACTAACATTTAGTATGCAGACTAAATATGGCCGGGCAAAAGGCACAGCAAGTCCACAAACGAAAAACAAAAATAAAACACTGACAGGAACTTTTAAAGCAATCAAATACTACCCCACCGGCGCAGCAATTCATTTTTCTAAAATGAAACAAGACCTCGTGTAAGGCTATTTGTCCACAGGAGGGACCGAAGGCTCAAGTTTTCATTTTAAAAAATGAACCTGTTTTGGAGATAAACAAATGCAAAAAAAAGGCTTCACATACAATATTCTTCAAGGAAAATTTGCACTTGCATAACTCAAAACCTCTTGTTTCTGCAAAGCAAATGAATTTCAGGCTGAGACTCAGGTCGTTGGTTTTTTATTTGGTTGGGTTTGTGGTTTTTTTTTTTGGATGAGTTACAAAAACCTCTGAATGATCATGTCAAATGGAAATGCTGACTCATCCAAAACCACAGCTTTCGGGTTCCCCCCCCCAACCCCTTCAGATCCCAATAAATCTATACCTCACCAAAAAGCTGAGTGCCCAGTGCAAGTTCTTTCTTTGTTCAGGCATGCTGGTGATGCTCAAATGCTGAAAGACCGTAACAGCAAGACAGCAAGGCCAGACACACTTCTCCTTTCTAAGCTACGCTGCTATCAATGCAAATTTTTTTATGTTACTCCCCCTTCATTTTTCTGGAACTACCACCATCTTCAACATTTAAAAAATGATTGCCAGGCTTAGATGACCCTGGTGTACTATGCAGCTCTCATCCCCAAGTGACTTCAATTTAGATGAAGTCTTTGTGCACTAGCAGAGCGGTCACATTTTATCTTACTAATATGAAATAGTTCCTAGCAGTGTGGCGGAGTTCATGCCCCTTTTGATTTTTTTTTTTTTTTCCACGCATGGAAAGACGAAAAAAAGGATGGAAAGCACAGGATTCTCCTATTTCACTTCACTCACATCAGCATTCAGCTCTCAAATAAAACCACATGGGGCAAGAGCTAAGTATTGTTTTAACAGAATGGTTGCTCTGACTTTCAGTTCATTGACATTCTTCAAACAGACTTTCCATGCACAACACGGAGCTCCGTCGTCTTGGTCTAATTAAGCCCCAAAGCCAAAGCTTCACAATGTTACACCAAGGTGCTCTTCTAGCCAGTGTGTATTAAAAGACATGACTTCATGCCATCAACCACTGTGCGTTTTACATGCAGATTGTGAATACCGCTTGCCTGCTGTGCTCCCTAAGAGAGCAGAAGCTTATGAAAATGACATCTGTTGCTAACGCATCAAGTTTGCGACGCCATGGTTAAAAATTTCCTCACCAGCTTCAGAGACTCATACGCTTTGCCAAGAACCCACACCACCAATTCAGGCTGACAGTCCGTGCCCATCTCCTTTCGGTTTGTAAGCCCATTTTTGATGGCACATGAACATTAGGTAAGAGAGAAAGCTCCTCCCTTCAACCAAAAGCTTGTACTGTTTACAAGTGATCAAAGTTGTCAGATGTAAGACACGACCCTCAAATCAACTTTTTAAAAATGCAATCGCACAATACGATTACCACAACTTTATGACATGATGTGATATTTCAGTGAGGCAAGTTTAACGTAATAAGCCTTATGATAAACATGACACATTCATAAACACAAAAGGAGAGAGAAGAGACATGTGAGAACAATGTTTGCACTGAGCTCCACCTGACACAAGGAAACCCAAAGCTGCAGCTGAAGCTCTGCCCTTGGGACCAGTCTTGTTCCATAGGCCTGAGAATTTCACAACGGGATTTCTGAAATACGCCATTTGGCTATTTTGAAGTGCATAAAACTCATGTGATACAAATGAAGGTTAAAAAGTCCACCAAAGAGGCACTGGTGTTGGAAGTTATTTTAAAATATATATAAGCCCCCCAACTTCCTTCTCTGATTAAATCCCCCTGCATTTTTTCTAAAAAGCAGCTCAGAAATAGCAAACATCTTATTAGCCAAAAATCCCTGTCAGGTGGCACTTCCACAGATACGGGAAAATGAAATAAAGACAGAAGGGTTAAGTGGCTTACAAATGAGCCAACACAGAACTGGGAACAGCACCAGGAACCTGTCTCCAAAGCTGCTACTTGTTGAGACCACACACTTGTTACTGGGCTCCTTCCATTGAGGACCCGGCAGGGACAGAACGAGCTAGCGTTTATTACCCAGTGCATGTGCCCTGCTTCTATCAAGCTCTAAGGGAAAGCAACAAAGCTAAGCAGAACAAAACAGCTCCCCTTCTTCTCAGAGAGAACCCCCAAAACCTCTGGAAGCTCTCTCAGCCTCAATGGGACAGACGCTATGAACAGCCTAGACAGATGTGCTGCAATGGGACAGCTAAACAGATGGTACATTGCAGAAGACATGTTAAACTTTGCATTTCATTTCTGTAGTTGCACTGAGGCAAATCACGTCTTAATGTTACATTAGTGCTCGCTCATTTATTGTTAAGCAGTACTTTCTTTACTGCATACAAATTGGGCAGAGGCAGGGTAATTTACCACCCGACAAACCTGGCTTCTTTTCTCATGCTTTAGATGGAGATAAGAGATTTACACTGTCAAAAATCATTGCTCCTACAAAAGGAGCTGGGAAACATGAACTTGCCAGAAAAACTTGGTTTTTTTCTTTTAAGTTAGTCTCCAGCAGAGCTGTTTTCACTCTTTGCTTGGAAAGTCATTACACACAAGTGAAAAACAGAACTGTACTCTTCAGAAAGAGGTCAGGGCACGGTTTCACAACAGGCACAAATCACCTCCAGTTCACGCTGGGACAGACAGTTCTGCCCTTCTCCTGGCCACGCAGGTCTGCCCTGTTCCCTCATCCCAGCATTTGCAGCCGGGGCTGAATGGTCAGCCAGGTAGGAAAGGTGATCCAAATCCTGAACATTTGGTTATTCAAGAGGTTTTTGCTACTATACAAACAATAATGTAAAGGGAGGCATCAGGAATATGCAGGTGGGAGGTGGAGAACTGACCCCGCTCCATGATGAACTTGTGCCAATTATGAAACTGCACCCAAAGAAACATCTCATCTCTACTGTACCTTTGTAGCTCTACAAAATATCGGACCCCAATCTCAGAAAAAAGAGTTTGCATTTTCAGCTTTAATTCAAGTGCAAGTCCACTTACAAGATTTTTGACAAAAGAATTTTTGCTTTCTTTTGTCATCAGTTATAATTAGAAGTGACAAAACGAGCTGTCTATTTATCCATTTTACTGTTTGGTATTCTTCCTCGAATCTGCAGTATGAGCAGTCACTTTGGAAGCATTACAAGCAAAACAATCTGCTTAAAAACCAGACAAGAACTAGGAGAGCAGGAGTAGGACAGCATGAAGACATGAAACTGGTTCTGGAGGGTGGAAAAACATGCTCATGAGAAAGACCAGACTCTTTATGTCCCAGTCCTGGAGCGTGGGGAAGACGACAGGACTGCCTGCTTACAAGCACAGAAAAATTCAACATTCAAGGTAAAGTGATTAGTATGGTAAAATGTATACAAAGAATACACATACACACAGAGGATATTCAGACTAAAATATTTGCCAAGTATTTTATAATATTAGCAGAAATTATTTCATAATATAGACAGAAATATGGATCCTAAAGTTAATATCCAAAGCTACTCTATAATACAACCAAC